AAAACCGCTTGTAATTATGCAAATTTCTTGTAGTTAAGGCTTGGCAGATCAAAGAACCTTAAAATGAATTAGATAAGGACAGCTGTATGTGCCTTTTTATTTTACTCTTTGCATGAATATTGCATACATGAAAGATACCATAATTCAGAACTAAAGACCTGCAGAATTAGGAAGATCAGAAGCAGAATGGTGGACATTTCTTTGAGTACTATATGATTTACTTTAGCCCAGCGCTGGAAGGATAACTTAAAGTGACTGGATAGTTTGGTTTCAGCAGTCCAGCCAATAACCATTCTCCTGCTAAGACCAGTGGTAAAGACAACAAATAGCATCAGCTGACTTGGGGGGCAAGGGGGAGGAATGGTGAGCATTGTTTTTATTAGAAAAAGAACTATGTTGTTACTCATGTTACTTCTTGGGAAAGAGATGAATTATTTTAAAAATATGATTACAAAATATCAGATTATCTCATTATTGCTTTCATATAATTAAAAGCTTCAGATATGGATTGTTCCATAATATTATATAAGGCATGCAAATAAGTTGATGAAAATTATTTTTAAAATGGTATATTGATGCCATACTTTTAAAAGCTTAATGTGGAAAAGATGTTTTGTAGGTTTATATGTGGCCTAAAAATGCCATGTGGGTTTGGTAGTGCCTACCAGTACACATATATAGAAGTGTTGCTTGAGGTATTTCTTGACAGTCAAATAGAATACAATTCTGATGTAACAGACTGTTTTTCAAGATAATAACCTGTAGGCCAGTAATTCTAGTTAGAACATTTACTTTATTTTACCAGTAGGACTTGTAAAAGAAGAAAGTTTAGCTAGACACTTAATATAATAGCTTCAGAAAACGTGACTTAGGTTCTTGCAGGAATTATACAGACTCAAAAAAATCTATTAACATATTACAGTTGAGAAACTGATCAAAGACAGTATTAGAAAATTCCATGTAGCAATACTGCTAGGGTCATAATGCACTTGGAATTCATTACTGTTATTTCATAATGCCAAAACAGAAAAGGAATTCATCATGATTGGACTCTGTTAGGTTTTTATTATTGTAAATACAGTAGCAGTGAAGATGAATGGTACTATAGCAGTATTAAATCATATTTGATAGCTGTTTCTTAAAGTAAATTGCAAAAACATTGCATTTCTAAAAGCACTGCCCCCCCCCAAAAAAACCCAAACCCACAAACAACCAAACCCTAAAAATAACGTTTAAGAAAAATGTATTTGTTTTTGTTCTTGGAAGAGAGAACCAGGAAAAAAAATTAAGAAAACGATACATGAAATAGCTTAAAATTTGGACCTAGCTTTATTCCCCACAGATATAAGGAATTTGTAAGCTATGTGCATTTTTCCATGACACAGAAGTCTGTAGGTGGAAGAACATCTTTATTTTGCCACTAGGTTATTTTATAAGCTTGCTTAAGTAGTAAGTGCCAAAGGGTCAAACATACACAAAACAACCCCATCTAAACTTGTATTTTCTCAAAGTGGGGTTTAGAATCAGTTTACACTGCTGTGAATTAACCTTTTAATAGATATTCTGCACTCAAGATCCCACAAATCCATTATGTTGTTATCTTCTGATTAAAATTATGTCAATTTATAAAAATAAAATTTACTTTAAAAAGCAGCATGTAATACATCAGATATGCCAAGTTTCAGTCCTCTACAGTTACTATTTATGACATCCCAAATATAAAATATTTTTAAGAATCTAATAATATAGATTCTGCTAACTGTTAGACATGATTTTTTAAGTGCATTGTATGAGTTCACTTAGAACATCAGATTTCTGAGATTGTGTTCATTACAAATAAGTTGCAAGAGTTAAAGACTTCCCTGACTACATGAACATTTAACCTAAATGAGTATAAGTAGATCTAAGCAAAGGTTATGTTGGTTTTTTGATTTATAGCCATTTTATAGCACTTCCCTAAGGAAGAAAAAAGGGTTGGTTTCACGATTTTACTAATGTGTTTCTTTTCTTAGGCAAAACCCATCTTTTTTGTTACTTAGACAAACAGTTATGCATCAGTACTCCTGATTCTCTGATAATAAGACTGTGCATAAGTATCTATTCACAAGTCATAGGGCCAAAGGAACTATGAATCTGTGTTTTCATTAAGTTAGCTAATATTCATACAAGTGCACCAAATTTAGGCAGGCCTGCATTAAGTCCCAGTGAGCCTGAAGGAATAAATACATTACACTACTTTAAACCCACCTATTCCTTCATTTAGATGCATGTTCACCCAATGAATGCACTCAACTAACTTTCAGTGGCAGGCTGGAAAGAAATTTTGTAATATAGAAATTATAGTAATTTCCAGTAACTCTGACAGCAGCTCTCAGGAAGAAGCTTTATCAATAGGTCCATATTCCGAGAAGATAGGCCCAAAGAACACAGGGGCAGTGATGAACTGCAAGTAGCTTAGTTAACAGCATAGGGAGGGATTAGTGAACTCCAATCTTTATTACGTAAGTTTGTAAAAGTAAAAGAGTTTTTACTCTTTTCTAAGATAGGAAGTGCATTCCAAACTGTTTATACTTCTGTTGTTTTGAAAAACAAGTACTCATATATCTTTTAAAAAAACGAATAGGTACAACAAAATTGCTTGTATTTTAACAGTGTATGTCTTAGTGGTATCCTATCAGAAACTCAACTCTAAAGCCAATATGCAACATGGAAGCAAAAAGAGGACAAAACCCCAAGATATCTGGTCATCAAGAAGAACAGAACAGAAAAGGCACTCCAATGTGGATTTAAGTAATATGGATAACACAGTAGGAATCTCTAGAAATCCGTCCTGAGGCAAAATACCTTCAAAAACAGGACAGAAGCTGTGAAACTAAGGATGTCTGTATTTGTATGAATATGAATCCCGCATGTCTTTGCAAGAAGCCCTACTTCCTGTATAGAACCTGCAGTGTCTTTTAGCCTCATCTTCTATTTCCCCATAAACCCTCCACAGTACACTAAACTTTTTTCTGCTATGCTCCATCGTTACTGCTTGGGCAAGAACATTTCAGGCTATGGCTAATTGCAACTGCACGCATGCTGACCATATGGCCAGCCTAAGGACAAAACCAGACCAAATAATTGTTGATCTGTAACTAAAGTCTTTTCCTCATATGGAATTCTATCTTCTACTGAACTACTGATTTTTACAGAACTGGTAAGAGTTTTATTTGAGGCATGTATGCTCCAGTTAAAATTGGCTTAAGTAAGCTAGTGGATTCAAAAGTTATTAGGGACCACAACTAACCAAAAAGACAGCATACTGAAGTAGGTTTCCCATCCACAGTAATCCAAGGCTTTTGAGGGACAAGGAGTAAGATCCTGTGTAGGCCTTTACCAGTATTTTCTGATATGGTTAACAAGATAGGCTGTACTGTGACTTGGCTCTGACAAAGCTTGCAATCCTTCATCTTGGTAATTGGCAACAATGAGATCTGCCAGTTGTTACCCAACCAGAACTGGCTGCCTAAGGGCATGGGTCGGATAGTCTAACAGAGTGTAACTAAAAACCTCTAAACTCATCATGGGGTTTTAAGTGTTTCGAACTAAATATGTAAGCTCTTTTTAAATTTAGCTTATGAAGAAAACCTTCAGAGCAATGAAACTGAGTATACAACTAACAGGATGATTAGTTTGTTAAAATGAGTTTGTGCAACAATTAGAAAGAATACTCTGCATTTTCATGTTAGCATTAATTATTAGTTTAATTAAAATGTAGACTAATACTTTCAAAGCTTTCAAACCCATATCTAAGCATGTACGAATACAGAAGTGCTACAGAATACCAGGATACATTTATTGCAGCTATCTGGCTCATATTTCAGGACATCTTTCTCTATTTTTTTAGGGTGGAATTGACAGTCCTGAGCACAGTATTCAAGGTTAGAGCATTATCACTGATCTAGGGCCTTAACATGTCAGCATTTTTTCCCCTTTAAATTAGTGTTATACTATGGGAAACTTTTTTTTTTAATCTGAGTTTAATTTGAAATAAAACTTGAGTGACAGATGCAGATGACTGCCACCACTGGGATGGAGTCAGAATGGCTCAACTTATAGACGTGCATACTCTGATCATGTTTTTACTTGTGAGTTTGGATTTTCTGCCTAAGCAAAAAGTGAGTCCATTATGGTCATAACATTAACAGTCATAAGTTAGACTAATAGACCACTTAGTACAGTCACCTGTGTCTTGTAGGAGCCACTAGTACAGGATATTCTAACATTAGGCACTGCTTGGACTGTGGCCTAATGGATTATTCTTTTTTTTGTCTACTTTGTTTTTGGACTCATGTAAACTGTGGCATCTGCAACATCTCATGCAATTAAACCTCTAGTTAAGCTACAAGTTGCATGAAGCACTGCTTTTTTCCATTTATTTTGACCCTGTTACCTAATGATCCTTTGAGAACTTGTAGTTCTTCTAGTATGTGAAAGGATGCAGCCATTCCCTCTCTATCTTCCTCATGATTTTATAGATGCCTGTTAGCCTGCCAGATGTCGTGAACAACTCCAGAAAAATACATCCTGTTTTTACTGAATATTATGTTGATCCTTCTTCATGTGGCTACAAGATTCTATTCAGGTATTTCAAAGCCACTGTTGTTTCTTAATATATAATTGCTAAGGAAACGGTAGAAAAAGTAAATCATTAGAAGCTTATGCTGTTTCACAAACTGATGATATTGTACCCAATGATTTTTCAGACTGGGCCAGATATAGCCAACTGTTCAAACACAATTTGCATGGGACAGAAGAAAAGAAAAAAGAGTGCAGCTACAATGTTTGTAATAAATATGCAATCTGTAAAGAAAGAAGAGAAAGGTAGGGGTCTTTGGCCTTGTAAACTGAAGACACTATTCAAAACCAGTCCCACTTCCTTTCCAACTTGTTAGGTTGCTGAGAAGTATATACAGACAGACCATGCCATGTGTATTCTCATTGTGGGGTTATCTTACCTGACCCATTTTTCAGGTATCCATTTGCATCTACAGTAGTGTACATGATGTAAGGACCAGGCTGATTAACACCAAAAGGCTACAAGGCGGGGGGAAAAGCACACAAAATTTTAGGAACAGACAAAGCTATATTAATAAAACAGTAAACCAAAGAAAAATGTTTCTAGATTAATGATTTCCTTTTGGTATGGATAATTTAAAAATCTTGCAACCTTTTTGGTCATAGCATTATGTGGAAATTGATTTTAAAAATAAAGCTAATTGGTTGCCTAAGTGATGTTTAGCTACTCACGAAGAAAACAATACTATTCAGTCCTCTGGCAAAAGGTTTAATGTTTCCTTGGAAGTTACAAGCAAAATAAAAACATAAAAATTCAAAGTTCTGAAAAAGCAGAACTCATTTGATATTGTCTGAGAGAATGCACTATCTTGATGGTCCTTCTGAATTGAGAAATACTACAGAAATTCAAAATTTTGTTATCATTATTTAGTGGTGTTTTATTTAATTCATGTAAGTGGTTGAGTAGTTACTTGTTGAGTACCAATATGTATTTTAAGCAAATTCTCTTGGGGGAGAAAATGTACTTAAACATCAAAGTACAGTTATGGGGGAAAAAGTTAAATTAAAAAAAAAATTAAAATAAAAAAAAAAAAAAAAAAAAATTCAAAGCGACTTGTGGATTACCAAAGGATGAACTGTAATAAATGCACCTAAGAAGGGGGGAGAACAATTATCCACTATGGTGGGGAAGGGAGAGGAGGGGGGACAACTGTAAGAACAGATTTTAAAGAAAATTTTCCTTTTTTTTTTAGTGCTGAATTCAAGCTGATATTAGGGCACCAAATCCAGTAAAGATCTTTCAAATGAGTTGCAGAAAGAACACTAAAAGAAGAGATGATGACAAATTTCACACCATGCCTCAAAAAATTATAAGTTCTAAACCATAAGAATAACTGATGAGAGATGGGATCAAAGCCTGAAAAATAATAGATGATTAGAATGAAGAGTAAGGAGACCACAAAGATGATGATAATGCAGGTCTACGAAAGATGAGTAAATAAGGTGAAAATCTGATTTATTTATTTTTTTTTGTGCTAAGAAGCTGTATTTTGGCATAATGTACTTTATGTTACTTTCTGACAGAGAACTTCTATTACAGTGGAGGCAATGATCTTGATAATGATACATTCACCAACATCTGTTGGGAGGATTTGCTTTTTAAACCCTCTCTTTAGTTTTGTAATTAAGCTAATAATACTATCAACTCCCCTTATTATTTTATATCAGAAATTAAACCCTATGTCTTCAAATATGCTTGAAGAAAAAGTTGGTCCCATTTGAAGCAGTTTTTATACTTTCAAGTCAAAACTAAATTTCATATTTTTGCAGAGCTAAAGCGCTAATGCTAGCTTTGATTCCTCTAAGTTCTTTTAGGCCAACTTTCACATGAACATTGCTAAACAATTTGCTAATTGAAAGTTTGGTGGGTGAGTTTCAGGGTCTCTGGAGATGATTAAAATAATTGAAATAAATCAGCACATGTGTATGTAGCTATCTGCAGAATCATGAAAATGAAGTATATTACCTTCCCTTCTCTCCTTCATTGTACCCACGTACTGTATTTTAGTCCAGAAGTGGCTATATGGCTGTATCTGTCCCATAATCAGTTTTGCCTGGCCTTTCTGGCTGCCCAGAACAAGACTTGGCCCACTACACAGTTTGGGCATCCAGCTGTATTACACAAATTTTTCTTATATCTGGTATATCCCAGCCTCTGTGATGCTGGGTAACAAAGCTCACTGCAGAATCAGTCAACTGATTTCATCTCTGAGCAGGCAGCTGGCAAAATGCAGAAGTTGGCCAGTCATAACTTGGATTATGCATTCTTCCAGTCAAAAACTGTCTTAATATGTGGAGAGGTTTTGGTATAATTAGACCTTACCTTACTTTTAGCTAAATAGTAATGCAAAGTTATAGTTACACTTACTGTTATTTTCCGCGGACAGTCATTAGAACAGAGGCCACTGAGAACTGCAAAAAACAAAAAGTGAGCTTGTAGTTTTTATGTTAACAAGCCATCTTACAAGCACTACTTCTGAACTCTGTTAAAGTATAGTAATAGTGTCATGTATCCATTAAAACACAAAAAAAAGTCTTCTATATGACTTACGTTAATGTATAAAAAAAAATCCCTAATCTGCTTGAAGCATACTTCTTTGCATAAATTAATCAGCTAGTCACTGTTTTATCATACCTCACTGGTTAACCAGCTTCAAAAGGAGATATATGTCAGTTAAAAAATTCCAAATTAAAACATTTTAAAAATAGTGGACTGTACATTTTATTCATTGTTCTTAATTTCTAACCTTTTAAAAATATTGGCAGAGATTCAGCTTTACTGTTTTAACTGGTAAAAAGGTAGGTAAAGAAAGGCCTTTCCTTCTATACAAAGGATAGTTTTACAACTTGATTTAAAGCAATTCACAAAAGCTGTAACAAACAAAAATCCCATTACCTATATATTATATGAATTCAAAAGTATTATAAGCAGATGTGTATAATGCTACTTAATATCTAAAGCCTGTGACAGTTGTTCAATTGCTTGTTTAAAACTGTTAGTTTTAAAAATCAGTTAAATTAGAGAAATATTATAAACAATTATAATCACCTAAATGACGGACAATGAAAGCCATCTGTTCTATAACCTAGAATATCCTGTCACATTGAGTATTAGAACATCAGTACTAAAATGTCTTTAAAACAAACAACAAAACACGCACACAAAAATAATCTAAGGTGTCATTCTGATGCAAAATTCAGACTTCAAACAACAACAGTTTGGTTGAGCAGCAGCCCAGTAATGGCTATGAGCAGGGAAGAGGATACAAACCAGGCAGTATCGAAGTCAAGTAAAAGCATAACTTCTCCATGAATTACAGTATCTTGAAGCAAGCGTTGCAGACAGTGAAAATTAAGATTTGGACCAGATGTGAGGGCACATCATCCTAACCACCAGGAGTTTTTTAAAGCATTTTCTGTCTGCTTTAAGGCTCCATAGATTTCAGTGTACAAAACGTTTGGGCACAGTGAAATACTAAAAAGGTGCACATAAAATGTTCATAATGTAATAGTCTGATTAGAAATTATGCCCTACTGGAGTCAGAAATGGCACTGTTCTAGTGAAGGAACATTTCTGATATTTTGTGTGCAAATATTAACAACTGTCATGATTCCCAAGTTATTGTTCTTTGCATGTGATATAGAAATGTTGAAATTTCCAAATACAGAATAATCTAATATTTTTATACAGTCAAAAAAAAAATTATCTGGACAAGTAAGATGAAGGTGTGGCAAAGCAGAATTTGAAGACTATGTATCTACAAATAGACTTTTTAAGCTATAAGCTTATTTTACGTTATACATAGGCATGTAAGTGGAACCAACTCTTCCCATTTTGACGCAAAACGTCACACTGCAATTTGCTGTTCAATTTCTTTACTGGAACAAATAATGTGACAAAGTACATTTGACATTAGTTATAATGAGCAAAACTGTTCTCACTGTCCATACGATGAATAAGCGAACACAATGCATTTATTGATATACTAACTCGCACAAAGCATGTTTTGTTAGAAATACTCTCCCCTATATCACAGTAAAATATTTTTAGACCACTCACTAATTCCCATTTCCTGGGATTTCTATGCAAAAATACTCACACCCTAAAAGGGTGCTAAAAAAAGGCTTGGTCCAATTTTTAAGATAGAGTTACACAGAGGGAATTAAAAAGCACGTTGCAAATTATTCCTTTCCCCATTAATATATCACACAATTATAATTCTAATATGGATTTGTGAAGAGGATTTTCTGCATGCTTGTGTGAATTACACCACCCATACACAGTATTATTTAAAAGAAGGCTTCCACCAACATGACAAATCATTATGGGGTATTATGATGAGAATAAAGCTCAGGCTAAGGAGAAAGCAATAAATGCATTAGCCCGCAGCAGCAGCTATAGTTCTGTTTATCTTATGGCATGCAGAATGTGTGCTTTTGAAGGATTAGATGCATTTAAATAACATGAAGGCAAATACAGTTTTTGAAGGTGAAGCTCTAGTTGTTCCTGTTTAGCTTTGTCCCCATAAGCTCACGTACAGCCTCATTTTTTACATGTTCTCAAAAGATCAGGGAAGACAGACAAGCAATGAGCTCAAAGCTCAATACCTTTGCAGTCAAAGAACATGGTAGGGCATGCAATTTGAAAACCTAATTACTCTCAATTACAAATATCATAATCTAACTCTAGCCTTTTAAACCAAGTCTCTAATTAAATCACACACCCTTGCCATGTTCATTGCCATTCCATGCTTTTATGGTTAAGATGCGTTTTGTGCCACATGGTGCTTTTAGGCTGAAAACACCAAACTGACTCACACACGGAAACAAACTGGCTCTCAGAACAGATCATGTGGCATAAGCAAAATATATACCATGCCAGTCGTCACTGAAATGAAACCAGCCCATTTTGCACTAGATTCTGCATCATTTCCAGATGATATAGAAAAGACCTCCAGTAAAGTAGGCTTGATATGACAAAGGTACAGCAAAAAAAGACAAAAGTCCCTGCTGGAAAGAAAATACTGCAACCACTCAAGGCACAGATGAAAATAAGTGTACTTGGCTATTGTTTCTTGCCCAGGTTTCTGAAAATAGGCAAGATAAAAAGGCAGTCATTGTGGACAAACAAAGCATGTTCCTTCAAGTCAATATTGCTGTTAATTTCTTCTGTTTTCCTTCTCTCTCACTGTGGCATATATATTTATATGTGCAAGGATAATTACATTTTTCCTCAAATTAGTGACTTATGAGCTAATATTCCTCCAAATTTTAAAGAGCATCACACATTTAAAAAAAAATTATCTAAGTTGAATGATAGATATGTGTAGATCTAATGCCATTTTTATATTGACAACATTATGTTATGTGAAAAGGTAGGTGAAGGTATTGTACAAAAGCTTCACAAAAGGGGCCTCGTAAGTTCAGCTAGCCCAACCCTTTCCCTCAAAAACAATTAATTAAATATACTACACAATTTCTTAATCTAGTTGTCAGGACCTCTAATGTTGGTAACTCTGCAGTGTTTCCAGGAATTTATGTTAGTACTTCACAAGCTGTCATTTAGGAAATTATTCTTACTATTTACTCTTTGTAGTCTGTTACTTTATGCTGTGTCCTGCATGGACAAACAGAAAACACTTCCCCCATTGTTATGCATCATTATGGATTGAAGACATGGATCTTCCTTACATTTGTCTTCTAGGCTGAATAACTTGGTTCCAAGTGCTTTTTCCCTGCAGATCATATTTTCAGACACTTGATAATTCTTGTTTTTCCTTCAGAAGCCACCTGAGAAATGAGTTTTTAAAGACCTAGTATCTGTCTTTAGAATTTTGCTAGGATGCAGAAGGAAAGGTCCAGGATGAAAGGAAAGATTTAGCCTGCCTCTATTTAACAAGCGAAATAAGACATGCATTCTTGTAAGAAACATACACACTCAAAAGATGATGAACACTTATTTAAAGGTCACTGCGGTCAACATTGATATTAAAAACTGCTAAAGTGTTGAAAATAGTGGGCAGAATTACTTTGAATTTTAATAAGTACACTAAAACAAAAACAAGAAAAAAACCTCTTGAAATGAAACAAAACCAACTCATCCAAGTTCAGATTCTGCAACAAGAGATTTCTGCAGTTGCTAATATTTTCCACACTGCATTTTTTCTAGAATTATTATATGCAGAGCATTACCATAATGTTATCATATACAAGGCTCAAATATTCACATTCCTCTCAATGTCCCATTTTGACTTGATTATACAGTAAGAACTCACCAATAACTTTAACAAAATAGGCATCTGCTTCAAAGTTATTTTTTAATGTATGGATAGCAAAATCCTTGTTGGAGTAGCCTTTGCTTAGCACAATGATATCCAAGATTCCCTAGAGGGGGAAAAAAAAGTTTACGTTAGAATGCTGATTTACTCTAGGTAACGTCTAAATTTAGCAAACAAATTCCCTTGGAGATACAAAGAAAAAAAATACAATGCGTGCACCAAAATTTACACCTTCACTACTAATTTTATATCTTTCAAATCTTATTAATCTATGGCAATTTAGGACAGAGTGATCCATCCACAGCTAACCAGGACAATGCATGTGGCCTGTGGCTTCCTTCTTGTCACCAAAGAGGGCAGCTCAAATGGAGCATATTGAAGGTCAGCAAACTTTTAGGCAGTGATGGGCTGCTGCTATCTGCTCACCTTCCAGGGAGCATCCCAGGAGTGAATTTCCCAGGCTGAAGGCACTGCCTGCCACGTGCTGTAAAGCCAACATTTCTACAAAGCAGTCTGCCAATGGCACAAAGACAGATACAGCAACGCAGAAAGAGATGCTGTTTGCTGTAGTAAAGAGTTGAACTTACATCTTCATATATGTCAAAGAAGGTTGCTACCACTGCATCCTTGATTTGATTCAGATCCGAGAGCTCCCAAAAAACTTTAAACATGCGACGTACACTCTTGCAGCTTACATTATTACATGGGACATTTTCTAGTAAAAATGCTTGTTGATTGCTGTAAAACATACACGTATATATATATAGAAAACAACTTAATTGCTATAAACAGTCTAAATAATAGACATTACAAAAACATAGTAATCAAATAATTTAAGTCTGCTGAAGTTAAATATAATAAAAACAAAGCTAGCAGCCACTGGATACTTTAAAATCCATAAGCATTTATGTTAACTTTACAGACAGAATTACAACCATTATGTCATGCCTGACTTAAACCAATGAATACACTAAATAAGTTGGTCCAAATCAGCAGCAATTATTTCATTAACCATCCACTCAAAAAACTGAACATATTCTTACTTTATTCTGAAACACGTACAAGTGCACTTATCTGCCATTTTCCTTAACCCCTCCACAGTCCTTCAGCTTAAACACTACTTTAAAAGTTTCCATGCTTTTTCATTATTTCTTGACAACCTCTTCCCACCCCAGCTCCATTAATAAATTTTCTTACACATTGCATGATGTTTTAAACAAATTTAAGATTAAACCAAATCCCTATTGGTATGTTTTCCATTGTTCAAAGCAAAATATAAAACACAACCCCCAACCTACTAGCACAGTAAAAATAAGACAAGACAAACCAAATTGGACATTTGCTGACATATAACAAATATAGACAGAAAGGTAGGCTGCAATACTGAAACAAGAAACAAACCAACCAACCAGAGTACCAGGGAGATAGCAAAATCTCCCTTCTAAAGAATTTAGCTAATACACACCCATTGGTCAGTGGGAGATGTAAGGTTCATATGTGCATGCTGATGTCTAATAGCATTATATGCTGTCTCTGATACTGTAACATTGTCACTCTCACTGGAACTGTGAAAACTTTCAGACTTTACCAACTGGGAGTCTGATTCTTTGGCAGATCTGTATCCTGGGTGCCCGTTAGAATCCATCACTGCCTTGGCAATGGGAACAGATGAAGTTTCCTCCTCTCTTTTTGGGGGCAGAGCCAGGAGATGGAGCAGACAATGTTCTGTAAAGCTAGCTAAATATGTCAGAGCCCAGGGCAAGAACCAAAACCACTTCTTCATTATGACCTTGAACATACAGCTATTTCGGAGGGTGACAGCAAGGATTTTTCTGCATCTTAACAGCATCCAGTACCTCTAGAATGCAGTGACACAAATGCACACACACAAACATTTCTTCTTAGGAAAGTTTTTATTTTTCTTTGTTTCTATGGCATATTTCAGATAATTTGTTACTCGTAAGAATCATATCCCACAACATTCATATATGTGCCTCATCCATTTCAGAACAGTCAGAGAAGGGCAAAACATTTACCCCAAGAAGAAACATTTCTGACACCAAAGTAAACCAGTTTCCTTGTCTGTTGCCAAGTTAATATTTCAGAACCTCCAATGGGTAGAATGTAGGATTTCATTCTCTGTAAGATGTGTCAAAAGCAAAACGGGAAATTTAAACACTTCCCTCAAAACATTATAATTGCATTTCTTGAGCTTCTGTGAAAAATACACAAATTAGGCCTTTATTCTTCTGCCATATGCCTGTATTTGATTGAAACTTAGTATGAACAACCCACTTTTTACTATTTCACTTAGAAGCATGAGTATATTGAATTAATGTCCAGACAAAATGAAATGAGGTGACCTGCAATATTTAAGACATTGTATTATCTGTATCTGAGAACCCATCATCATAACTTGAAATTGTTAAGTACTCATATTCATTTCATGTATTACATAAGTATCATATCAGATCAACCACCTAGGAGGTAAGGTGACAACCTGAGCTAAGCTAATTGTTTCAGTTTCTCTTTTTCATCCTGTTGCCATACACTTTTTTTTTAAACTTGAAGAAAGTTTTACAATAATGCTTTCTTTCAATTCACGTTTTAAATTGCCAGAAATTGTTAGATGATAATTATTTAAAAGACAAAATATTTTCAAGCTTGCATTACAGTCTATGAAGAGTATTCAAGTCTAAACTATAAGCCTTGTGAATAGATAGACGCAAGTAGTTTAATTACTACAGGAATCTTTTTATTTCCTTTCCTTGGTAGTGTGCATTTAATGACTTTCAAAACACACAAATCGCAAACAGGACAAACAATAGCGTAACACCAACTGCACTTTAAGAAAAAAGCAAGATATTGATCTAAGTGGCATTGAGCAGGGAAATGCCACTTTCCTTCACCCTTCTGTATCAACAAGAGAAATAAGACATACAACAGGAAGGAAAAAAACAATCCCAAACCCCAAACAGATGTTGAAGACTGAGAAGTGCACTATAGGAGAAGCTATATTGTAAAGGAGAGAAGAAAAAAAAAAAAAGTAATCACAGATGTAGCTTCCCTTGTAGCAGAGCAGCAGAGGTCTGGAGAATCCCTAATCAGAATATAGCTATGTAGCTGAAAGTCTACTAGTGTTTATCTTAACAGGCAGCAGGAAATTTCATTTCATACTACTACTGATTTATATCCTTACAGTCCCTTTTGAAACACAAGCTTGCCTAGTAAAATCAACAACTTAGATATGTTACATATAGATGTTAAGCTACAGCAGATGCTAACTATACCTACAAATACTTACATACAGGTTTAGATTCACTAATGTGAGTCATATGAAGTTGAAATCTGATTCTTTTTATTCTGATTTTTTTTTTCCAAGAGTCAGTGCTGGTTTTTTTTATGGTAAGCAACATTAAGAACTTGCAGGGTAACAAAAATAATGAAATTCTAAAGCTAATGAAGACTGTTACTATTGGTGAGAAAGATGGGATAAAACAAGGTTTAAATATGAACTGCAATATTAAACTTCTTTTAAGTTTGGTTTTTGTTTTTTTTTTTAAAGTGGATTTTACAGAAACGCATCACTTCATTGGAAGCATACAGAGGTTGGTTTTTCTCCTGTTTGCAAGCTAGCTATTATTAGCTTTATAATTAAAGCTGAGCCTTCTTTCCTGTCAATTTCCAAGGCAATTCCTTGGCATTTATTTTATTGATGCCTTCAAATTATTTTGACTTCTATACCAATATTAAATTGCTCTTATCTCCCCTAAAAGCATCTTTGAAAAGCATGATGAGAAGAGTTAATAACTTTTAGATACGTAGCTTCTAAACAAATGCTTTAACTTGAGAATATCACTCGGGTGTCTTCCGCACCATCTTGTTTTTTCCTTTTTTAAAAAATGGATAGTATGTATAGTAAGGAAGTAAGTTACAAACTCACATTTAACTCCAAAATGATTCAGTTTGATTCTTAACTTTCCCCACGTTTCTGACCAAAATTTTGAATGCTATATCCTGCCATTAGATTTGAACAGTATTAGCCAACTAAAATACACTCTTGAAATATTAGTAGTTTCTGCTGAAAATATTAATTTCTGATACATTTACTTATGTGTAAATAGTTCTTCCTTTTTTGATTGAAATTGGGTGAATGTGATTTTCCTTTTCCTCATGTATTTTCAGCCCATTATCTCTTAATAACATACTAGGTAAGGATTTTATCATTAATATGTAGAAATTACATATAACACCTAGAAACACTTTCAAAATAACTACCTCTGAAAAGCAAACAAATGCACTCACACAGCAACTTCTGTATAGAGGAAAAAACAAAAAGTGCTCATTTGATGGTGGGGGACAGTCTTCAGGTTTGCCCCCCCCCCCAAAAAAAAAGGCAAAAAGCAACATACTTGCAGCCTTCCTCACATCCATGTATATAAACAGCCTTAGTGCTTTAAACTTCCATCTGGTTTTGAAGATGAGCTACGTTCAGAGTTCCACTGAAGGCTGCATGTATTATAACTAGTTGTCTTTGTGCACAAACTTAATTTTTTCATGTGCACAGTCAGGTGATTCCCACTTGACTCAATACAAGATAAAAAATAAGCACTGAAATAAAAAAACAATAAATTATTTTAGGTTTTGATTATATAATAATGAACACTAACGGAAGCCAGAAACTATATATGTGTGTGTATATATATATAATATCTTAGTAATTGCTAGCCACGTTATGTCCTTCTTGATGCTTCTCAGTCCCAGTCCACTCCCAGGGCTGTGCTGATGTGGGAGTTCCCATGTGCTACATCTCAGCATGGCAGGAGGAAATCTTAGTGCGTGGGCCATTCTTTTGAAAGGCTACAGCAACAGGGACAGTTGCAGTGCCTTACTGTTTGCAGAGGGAAGAGAAATCAGCTGTTTTTCACCACCTCAGCTGTTCAATTCTATCTTGGAAGAACTCCTGACATCTGGATATGGCCTATGAGCTGCCAGTTGAGTCTTTATATTATTTAGGGCTTTAATACACAAGCATCACTAGAATCAAAGTACGCACCTCCATGTTTTATTTCTGCTACATACTACAATTACCAAGAGCAAGTTTACAAAATTCCTATTATTTTGAACCAAATTTTGAAGATTAACACCATCAGAAAAAATCTCCCTGTAACAATGAAAATCATCAGCATCGTTGAAATGACAAGACAATGTCCCTGAAAGCCTATGGTAAAACATATAAAGACAGACACTGCTACAATGGTAAAACCTTAAAATCAATGCTAAAGTGCTACACAAATGTGTAACGGTCAGTCAATATCAAACAATTCAGCTTAAATACTGAGAAGAGGCAGAGCAAAAGAACTCTGAACTAAGACTAGCGTATCACCCTTAAGATGCTATTTGCAGCACTTCTAATACTTAGGTATACACGCCAGTGTATACACAGTGGCAGCTAAATTGTGTACTACCTGCATAACTTTATCCCAAACAGCTTATGAACAATGCTCAATAGAGTCGTCTACAATTTGGAAACTTCTGACTGAAGTCATCTATGCAGCAAAGCTAAATTTAATAAGGCTGAATAACTATAAGCAAGGCTTAAACACCAAAGGAAGACTGAAGACTTACCTCAGTTTTATTTTAACATATTTCTTTGCAATTAGAATTAAATATTTACTGCTTAATTTCATACATCTCTCATTCTGTCAATTTTAGGCTAGTTCATTTACAGTTACACAGGGGACATCTAAATGACAAATATCTTACTCCAGACATTCAGAATAATTGAATTTGCTTCTGGTTTTTTAGTTGTTCAATTACAAGGTGCTCATCAATCCTACATTTAAAAGAAGTCCTCTATCCAACCTTACTTCTGACAAGTGTAAACTAACAATGATTTAGGAAGAGATAATTTGGTCAAATAAGAGTCCTTTCAAGTATACCCATTGTCCTAGTTTAGCTGGGATATAGTTAACTGTCTTCCTAGTAGCTGGTACAGTGCTATGTTTTGAGTTCAGTATGTGAAGAATGTTGATAACACTGATGTTTTCAGTTGTTGCTCAGTAGTGTTTAGACTACAGTCAAGGATTTTTCAGCTTCTCATGCCCAGCCAGCGAGAAAGCTGGAGGGGCACAAGAAGTTGGGAGGGGACACAGCCAGGGCACCTGACCCAAACAGGCCAACAGGGTATTCCATACCATGCGACGTCCCATTTAGTATAGGAACTGGGAAGTGGGGGGCAGGGAATCACTGCTCGGGGAACTAGCTGGGTGTCGATCAGCAGGTGGTGAGCAATTGCACTGCGCATCATTTGTACATTCCAATCCTTTCATTATTGCTGTTGTCATTTTATTAGTGTTATCATTATCATTATTAGTTTCTTCTTTTCTGTTCTATTAAACCGTTCTTACCTCAACCCACGGGTTTTGCTTCTTTTTCCTGATTTTCTCCCCCATCCCACTGGGTGGGGGGGGGGAGTGAGTGAGTGGCTGCATGGTGCTTAGTTGCTGGCTGGGGTTAAACCACGACACCCATATAAAGGATTAATACTTATACATTAATTTAAAACAGAGCATGAACACATGGAAAAATTTCTAGAAGTGTATTATACTCAAATACACTTCTTCATTCAACTGTCCATAACCAGTTGTTTGTTATCTCCAAGTTTCCATTTTTACTGTTATTTATCAACAATGTCAGAGATACTTTTATTTCCAACTTTACCATTACTTTACCAGGGAAAAACATTCCCTCTCAATAAAAGCATAACTGAAAAAAGTGCTTCCTTAGATTACGTGTTTGCAATGCAAGATGCCAATTACTAACACCTAATTTGGAAACAAGTGGTCAAACAGAATTTGTTTCATCTAATTAGGTGGGAGAAAGATGAGTGTTTATAGACTCACATGCAGTACTTACTTCCAGTGTTACCAGAGTCAATTTAAAACCAGCATGTGAAAAAATGAATACATTTAGATAAGATAGGAAGTAGAGATGAACCGATTAATAACTAGTGATAAAAATCCCTTTACCTGTTATTATTCTACATACATACACAATCTCTAATACAGTCATAACTGGAGGGAAGAAAAATTCATGTATGTATCTAGCCTGAAGAAAAATCTGTGGACTGGAATTCTAATGTGCAGGTTTTGACTCAAGTCAGAAGTTAAAAGAATTCATAATGGATAGATAAATATGTAAGAATTGACTGTGAATTTAGCATCTTCACCTGTTGGAATTTATTGAGTCTCTGGGTTCAAACCCCCACCACACTTGCAACCACAAATGAAATACCTTTGTTGTTGTTGCTGTTAAGGAATGTGTCCGTGCTGTCAGAATATTTACACACTGTTATTTGAAATCAAAAGGACATGGCAGGAGATGAAATGGTGTAGTCTTACAGCAGTTCTGAGAATATTTAAAGCTATTAATCATTTTCCTGACTTACCTGGAAGGACAGTAAACCAATGTTATTCCTAACTATCATGTCTTTATTACAGCGTTCTGTAGGTATTTTTAAGGATTTGATCTGAAAGTGCTTTCCTGAATTGTGATGAAAGCATATAATTGTTTTTAAAGATATTCTTCTATTATCATGTATCAGTATACTTTCAGATGCATAAAATGGTTTCTGCCTCCTTTAATTTCTTTAAGTTACAGACAGCAACTAGAAGCTAGGCTTCCTAGACTATAGCACAGATTGAGGTCAAGAGTTTACAAAAATGCTTTTATCATTTAATCACAGTAATCAATCACTGAAATTAGATCTGTAGATATAGCATGAAAGGCTTCAGAGAAAGAAATACAGTTTGATCCAGAAGTGTTTAAAATCAATTAAATAAGGTTTTCATTTTAATTTGCTCTAATTTATAAAGAGTTTTAAATTTAATTCCCACACTGTTTTAATTCTCTCCACTCTGTAACCCAGTTACACATTTTAAAAGGAAGTATTTGCTTAAGTCTCTCAGAAACAATGAATTAATATCACTGTGAAAAGTGACATTTCACAGTGGGTGCAAAAAATGTGACATTCATTCCTATCCCAAAATATGAAGAGTCTGTTTCCATTACTTTTCTACAAATACTGGAAATATACAGTGTTAACATGCAACGAACTTCTTAATTTTTAGTTTACTGACTCTTTTTTTGCCAGATTTCCTCAGCTCTCTGAACTTCCCTTTTCATAACTTGTCAAATCATCTGCCAGTAAACCTTCAGTCCTTATGCCTTACTGTGTCACACAACTTTGAAGTCAAGTTTCAAAATAACTTTAAGACGCACCCAACTGAATAAAAAATTTCAGAAGCAAGGAGAATAAAGATAAAAGTGTATCACAGTAATTCATTGCAGTAAGACATAGGTAACTTCCTGGACTTTTATAGGAGTAACTATTTACAAACGATTCAAGTCTTTTACATAATATTACATTGCCATAATTATACACCAGCCAGAGGAGAGAGGCTCCTAAGAATCCTGAAAGATAAAATAACTTCAAATAAACTTCTGAACAATGTAAATCTTCATGAAGTCCTTCTGAAGTGTACTAGCTATTGAGATACACACTAGAAGATAGCCTTATAGTACAGCTCAAAACACGAGATTCATGGGTCTTCAGTAAAAACAAAGACAAGAACAACTTTACAGTTTAGATGTCATGGTGTTTCTATGGAAAAGGAAAGACTTTGGTTCCAGTCTGCTCTCTAGACTGTTCATAGTCTTTATTCAATGACTGCTGAACAGAAGATGCAAACTCCTAATTGAGTAAGGCTATGGAGTAGAAAACCTGACATTCAGTGTCCGAGTGCTTTAACTTTCTTTGCCTTTGCAAGTTCTGGGCGGTAACAGCATCACTCCTTCTCCTCTGCCATATCTGAATATAAACAGCTGCTGTGCTAGTTATTTTAAGGCTCAGGGATACAGAGACAGAGCTCAGCAACTCACTGCCTTGTCTCTGAATCACATCACGTAGGCTGAATACAAGAATGTAACTCTTCAAACTGGGTCATTTTTAGGTATGCGTCAGTATCTGAAGAACTCTAACACAAAAATGTCAGTGGGCAACTCGTGTTCAGGCAACCGCTTAAGGATCTGAATTGACTTCTTGGACTTCAGCATCTAAATTCTGTCTATATACTGTTTTAAGAACCAAAGCGATCTCCTCAGTTCTTTTCCTTACTGAGCATTAATTCAAATTATGAACCTGCACCCAAGCTCATCCAAAATACCATACAGAGGAAGACAATAAATACACCTGCAAGAGAGACTTATTTTGCCTTCTAATGCACTAATGCAAGTATGTCATAGATCCCAGTAACGATGATGTTGAGACTCCATAAGGTATTGATTAAAATACCTTTTACAAGCAATGACATAAGGAAGAAAAAAGGGATAGCACAGATCATCTTACATCTCCTCAGGTGCTGGAAAACCTAGGCTGTGCAGCATCAGACAGACCTCTAGTCAGGGCACAGCATGCTGCACACATCCTGTCTGTAGTGAGGTTCACTGGCATTATGGTCTCTAGAGCTCTTTTAAGTTTTTCTTGGAAGTAAACAACTCTATTCATCATTTCTACTGTCAAGAGAAAGGATGTTCACATGAAAACATGCTGCTTCACTTCAAGGTAAAGACAAGGACATGCCAGTGGTATCATCACCAGGTGCCAAGTGAGAGCTGCCTACAGGCTTCTCCGTTACGATGAGCTGGCTAAGTTTATCCTGCAGCCAAGTGGTATGTGCAGAACAACACAGGCGTGCACCTACTCAGGTCAACTGTTATGTGGATCACTAACTGTTCAATGTACAACAGTCACACTGTAAGCATCACTACAAGCCCCCTCGCACCTAACACCAGATGGTAGCAGTACAAAGTACTGGGAAAGCAAGTAAAGAAGAAAAAAAAAAAAAAAAGGAGGAGAAAGATTACACTGACAAATTTAATAGGAAAGGTTAGAAGCTTCTTTTTTTTGGTGGGTGTGTGTAGAATTCTATTTATTTCAGTTAAATTTAGGCAATATAAAATCACTGATAAGTTATTAGGTCTATCTAAAATTCCTGGTTCTCAAAAGGGGCAAAACACTATTGCCTTTTTTCAGCAGAGTCACCAATCAGTGTTCACTCCATGTGACAGCATGGAACAGGTTCCCCAACTCTCAGCAGCCTGGTGTTACTAGCCAACACTGAAAGCTGAAGTCAGGATTTTACAGAAGATGATTTGGGAAAGGAAAGGCAGAGATAATCAGCTCCTGTGACCCAGGAGGACTGCCTAAAAATGGTACTTCATACTACACTCCCTGGTGCAATTCCCCACCAAAAGTCACAGTTTGAGCCTATACAATTATGCATTCTGAATATACCATGTAAATGCATACCTTTTAAAAAGGGAAACATTTAGCAGAGATCAAAAGTCTTGTTCACATGATAAAATGGACGAGATGCACTAAAATTAGTAATTTGTATGACTGATGACGGAACATGCATTTAATAGTCTTTATTTCTAGGTTTACATATACTCTACCTTCCAGATGTGTTCTTTAGTATAGCAAGAGCATCTGGGTAGCCATCCATATTGTAATCTCCAATATGAAGTGTAATTGGAAATGAAATTTCTGTTGAAGATTTGTCATTTTGATATGGTACAAAACCCCAGAGTGTGTCTTTATTTCTGAAGTCTTGCAAGACTGGAATCCACTGTAAAATAAAACAAAAAAAGAACAGCTAGATAAGGAAAGCAATTTTATTTATTTAAACAACATAATTCTATTTAAAACAGCTTACATTTCTTCACTGCATCAAGATTCTTAACCACTTAACATTTCCAAAGAGGAAATAACAATTATTTCCTAACTCTGTCACCAAATGAAAAAAATTAATTTGAAGTCTTTCTGTGCACTAAATTATTCCAGAACAGGGGAAAAAAAAAAAAAGGTTGTAAGAATAAAGGACTTGTGTTTTGGAATGTGTCCAGTGTACCGAAATATTCAGGAACAACTTCACTGAAATTCAGGCTTGCCTGGAATCTGTACTAATCCTTAAGTGTAGGTAAGCCCAAACCATCAGGGCCTTGAGATCCTGAGTCCCTTTGTTTTTCTTGGAATTGCAAGCAATAGGCAGCATTAAAGCCAGAGGAGGGATGTACCCCCATTAAATCTGTGGACAACACCAAACTGGGGTATACTAACAATATGCTTCAGGACAGAATGGCCATTCAGAGGGGACCTAGAAAGGCAAGAATAGGCAAACAGGCACCTCATAACAATCAGCAAAGAAAGTCCTGCACAGGGGAGTAAACCCCTGCAACAGTACAGGCGGGTGACTGACCAGGAGGGTAGCAGCTCTCCCAAAAAAGATGCATGGGTCCTGGTGAACAGTAAGCTAAAGCTGAGTGTGGCAGCTATGATGGCAAAACAGCATACTGCACTGTAACTGCTGCCTAAGCTCCTGCTGACTGACGTGAGTGATTATTTCTCTTTATTCAGCACTTATTAGTCTGCATCTGGATTCTGTGTCCAGTTTTGTGCTCCACAATTCAAGAAAAGTTTGAGAATATTCAGTGTGTTTGGAGAAGGATCACCAAGATGGTCAGGCGTTGAATATTTACTTAAAGGACAGGTTGAGGGCACACGGCTTGTTCAGCCTGGAGAACAGAAGATTTAGGGGCGACCTAATAGCAGCCTTCCAATGCCTGCAAGGAGATAACTGAGAAGATGGAGCCAGGCTCTCTACTGAGATACATGGCAGAAGAACAAGAGACAATGGTCACAGACCATTACAACTAGAGATAAACAAACAAATTAAACTAGGAGAGAGGCCCTGAGAAGTTACAGAATCTTTGTCCCTGGGGGTTTTCAAAGTTTGACTGGACGAAGCTCTAAACAACATGGTCTGAATTCAGTGTTGCCCATGCTTAAAGCAGGAGGCTGAATCTCCTAAGGTTCACTTCATCTTGAATGATTCTATTATTCATGGATATTTAGAAGTTCAAGAGCTTCAATTCCCCTCCTATCTTCCCAGCAGCACCCGATACTGAGCTGTATGATAAGAAATTAAGATTACGGTATCAAATTGAAAGTACAAAAGAAATGCAAAGTATAATTTCTCCAGGACAAGAAATAGAATGTATCTGCACTTACTTTCCACAAAGTGCTGCAGCAGTGCTAAATAAGAATTTATCTTAATTAAAATCAAAGTAATTTCACAAGTTGGTATGAAGCTGAACTACCAGGGTTAACATTTCAATGCTACAGAAAAATTCAGTGACATTTTAAAAGCCAGAACTAATTTTATATGTCAACTAACTGACAAGGCCTTCAAAAGGACAGAAGGGTCCCATCTCAAAGGATCACTATCACCAACATCAAAAGCACTTAACAGCATCTTCAATGTCTCTCATCCAAGCCTTAATTTAGCTGTTTCAGGAACCAGAATGAGATCCCTGACAGCACCATTTCCTGCTGTGGAGAGACTCCCTCACTAACACAATCCAGTAATCAACAACATTCCTGCCACATGGTAATTGCATGCGACACTTGGACTGGTCTCTTGAGATTACATACAACCACATGCATATTAGAGAAGCCCCCAAAATTATTAAAAAAGTGCACTAAGGGCAACTTCGGATATCACAGATGGCTTAGAAGCCTGGAACAGTTCTGCCAGACACTGCATATACTTAGTGCATGTCTGCCTGGGTAAGTGATGACATTTGAACTGCAAAGATGATCTACAACACTCTTGAGAACTCAAAGTTGAAATTAAATGTACTTTGAGCCTCACCCCCTCACCCACAACATATGCATGCCTATTTAGTTACTGTTAGCTGCTGAAGATTTGGAAGAATCCAGGAAACAGAAAATACGAAAAAGACTCTGAACCTGAGGGAAACTTTCAAAGGTTTAGATTTCTTAGCACTTATTTGTCATGCAGAAGACAGATAAAACAATATTATTACAAAATATTGTAATTTTGAAAAACACTGATTGAAATCAGAACCATGAAATATAATAACAGTTTTTACTTTACATGGTATCATTTACAGTCATTGCAATGAAACCCAATTATATTCGTCTCATACTTTCTAAACGTTCCCATGTATGGTAATGCTATTTTAAAGAAACAAAATTAAAAATGAATTTTTAGGCACAAATCCGAATTTGTATTCTGCTTTTACTCTACTCAGAGTGGTTCATAGAAATCAATTTTACAAACATAAGGTCTACAATGAAATGCAGAGATATAAGACAACAGGTGAGCAAAACAGAACCATCACCCATTGCTACCAAGCACCATCACTGTGCACACTACAGGGTAAGATTCATCCATCTCACTGAACCAGTTGTGGGACTTTTTATAACAGCAGTTGTAGAACATTTAAAAAACATCAGTCTTGTTTGATGTGTAACCATAGCACATTCTAGTACTATACGTAACTTACTCTGACAGTTTAAAGTCAGAGCAATCCACACTTCTGGAGAAACTCATTCTGTATATTTCTATTATAAACGGCAGTATTGTGTAATGTAATGCAAGATTAATTGTTCATGTGCCTCAGGACATATATTTCAGTACAGACAGCAAAAAATGAAAATATGTTTGTCAGTAATATAAATCTCCTACTACTTTTGTATTTGATAATCCAATTACTTTAAGCTTCATGTTTGCCATTACTACTTTAATAGGAAAAAGACTGAAACCTATTTTTTTTCCTTTCACTCTAAGATAGAAATAGGTGGGTAAAATGAGGACACACAAAGCTATTTTTTGTGGTTTTCTGATCATATGATTTCTGTTATGTAGCTCAGATGAAAAATAGACTGAAAAATGGAATAAGTGTATCTAAAAGAAAATATAAGTGAACACATAAAATTCAGTCAGAGAAATCAAAGATTTACTTCTTCACTTTCTGTTAAACTCCATTGCATGGCACCACTAATATCATTACTTACAACATTTATATAGATATTTTTACTCCTTCAAGTAATGATTTTGTAGACTAAAACAAGGAAAACATCTTTATTTAAGTGCTTGAAAATTTTTTTCAAACTCTTCAAATATTTGGTTTTCAACAAGTAGAAAAGAGAATGCTTTACTGCCCTGTGAAAACAGTGTCTTTTTCATTTTGAGAAAGATCTTGGGTACTTGAGAAAAAAATTTAAAACTAGTTGCACTCACCCCACTTAACTTGAAAAGGGCACATTTCTTTCAGAGTCCACATTCTTCCACACATTAGGAAAAGGCACTTCTCTTGCTCTAAAGTGTATTAGCAGGTTTTTGAGCCAAAACTTTGGGATTAACATATCTCAATTTTTAAACCATGGCCAGAAACCTATGAAGCACAAAAACCCCATCCAGCCAGCTGCCCCCTTCTAGGCCACGTAACACAGACAGGGAGCCAGCTGCGAGTCAGAAAGCATTTGGAAATTGGTAGCCCATTTTTGGCCAATATCTATTCTGGAAATGCCAGGGTTTGTCCTCCTTTCTATGACAAACACTATCCCATCCTATAGAAACGTGAGTATTAAGAGTGGCCTGGAAGAACTGGCCACAGCAACAGAAGTCCTTTTCCCTGGGGGCGGCCCCCTCTACTGTACACATGCATTGTAGTTCAGCTGCACATAAAAAATAAATCCCATGATTTCAGGATGCATTAGGCTTTCAGTGCATACGAAGGTCACCTGAATTCCATATGCAGTTGAGCAGGCACTACTGCATAAAAAGAAAGTAAATTACCTATAGATTACACCATTAACTTACAGTGTTCAAAGTCCAGAAGATGACAATCCCAAACACTGATTTAGCAACACAGAAAAAAATAACCAAAGCAGTAAAAGTCATATGCTAGAATGTGGCTCATGGCCCCATTACTGCTTTGAGAAAGATGAGCAACTTAGAAATCATGAGAGCATCCTGTAGAATCTGAGACTTATGAAAATTACAGCAGCTGCAATCCCCTCACCCCTTTAAACTGTTATAGAGGAATGAGGAAAAACTTCCAACACTGACCAACTGCAGCTGATAATCAATGCTGTCACATACCCTCTAGCCTAGAGAATGATACCACAAAGACCTGTGGTTTGCTGTAGGATGCACTACTGTGTTCTACTTCAGAGCTGCTAAATTTATAAGAAGAATAAAGCTATAACCTTTCTATTGTACAGAGAAAGGCTGTAAGAATCATCAAGCCCAGAAAGAAACTCTCAAATGAAGGGACCAAAATAATACTGTTTGCCTCAGGAAACAAGTGAAAAAATTATACTGAATACTTGGCAAAATTAAAAGAAAGATCAGTCACCTCTAAGAATATCATAGTATCTAGAGTTTTTACAATAATCGGTACCAGGAACTTTAAAACATTTTTAGGGAGAACTCGGTCTAATTTTCAGAATCCAGATGAGAGATCTAAATCAGCTAGCAGATTAGTCTGTCGCTATTGCAGGTGAATTTAAAGATGTCTGAGGTGTCCTCACACCTGCCACAATCTGAAACAGCATATGGGATTCTACTTCAGATCTGACAGCAATTCTTCTGTTGCTATGGAAACATTCACATTCTTTTAAAATTTTAGTAGGTCTGTATCTCCTTAAATCACTCATCTGTATTTTGTTGGCCTTTACTTTTGCTCCATCATCCAAAAGAAGGAAATTTATCTGAGCTATTTCTAATACTTATAAAGATTAAATCATTAAATAAATTAAAACCTATGGTGAAAGATCATCCTTGAAATAATTCTCCTAGATCTGCTTGGCTTTTCAGTAGCCATCCAGCTGTGCCAAAGACATCATAAGAAATACAGCGTAGACTGACAGACATCAAACAAGATCTTACCAGAACAACTCCAAAGCCTGACATGCCATTGCATGCCTCTCCACAGCATAATTTTTACAACCACAAATTCTACAGACGTGTATTTCTGATTGTTATGCATTTCATCCCAATGCATCATACACTCTCATGGAACTGTGTTAACTGATTTTCATTTGGTTTCATCAAATGTCACAATAAACAAGCAGGAAGGACAGACCCAGGTCCAGTTACCATATGCAAAATATTTTGTGTAAGACAGTCATCTAATTAGTGATTTTTCAGATCTGAGATCAGTAAGTTTCTTTAAAAAAAAAAATCTGAAAACCAGAATTCTTTGCTACATCCTTAACTAAAAAAAAAAAAAAAAAAAAAACCCCCCCCCCCCCCCAAACGCTACAGCAAATACTGAACAGAGATAATGGATATATAGTATCTTCTTCTTTTTCAATAATAGACTTGCAATCTCTCAGTTTCCCATAGATTCCCTATAATTACCTACCTGTTACACAAGGGATACCATCCCTTTGTTGAAACACATTCTGCACCACAAGGGCTTATTATTATTTCCCTCAAATTGTAAAGTGATTAAATGAAAGGAATTGATCCCAGTCTGTTGTCACAAAGTTTACATTTATCATTGCTTATGAAGATTAACTTAGTCAAAGCCGGAAGCTGGGTCATCTGATCTCACAGTGACCAAATTCCATGAAATCAAAACATTTCACTTCCAAATAAATATGGGAACTAACATGTTTGAATAGTTTTCTACCTGAAGGAAACATGCAACACATGGGAAAAACTGCAGACATATGAGTGAAGATACTGATGTTTTCCACTGTTTCAGAATAGAAAAGATTAAATGCCTCAGAAGAAAAAGCTCCATCACCTCTAGATGAGTTTAAGACTGCAAGAAAAGAGTGTTCTAGATATAACTCCTTAAAAAGGTTAGGCCGGAACAAGTCATTATTGCATGCCATTTGATACTGTCATTTTAATTAAAGTAATTCTAAAAATATGCAGGGAAAATTGCTTTAAAGTTTCTAGGTGACTCTTAATACTTTTTAATACTTTTTTTCTAGCAGGATGAGAATCCGTTGGATTCTTCACTTTTTAAAATAAAGTGACAACATTTGGGTGCTTGTCGTGGTTTAACCCCAGCCAGCAACTAAGCACCATGCAGCCACTCACTCCCCCCCCCCCCCCCCCGGGGGGGGGGGGGGAAAAACAGGAAAAAAAAAAAAAACCCCGGGGTTGGGGGAAGAAGGGC